ACATTTGGTTACCTTTAACGTTTCCATAGAACTCAAGTTGAGAATCTCAACATTTTTTAACCCATGTAGCAGATTCGTTAGATGGAAACGTTTTGCATCTTTTTTACACCATAAACCACGTTCTTGCGGACGGAGATGGAGCTTAGCTTCAACAAGAGAGCTGAGATTAACATTTAGATACTCTTTTGGAACATAACCAGAGTAATCCAAGTAAACAAGTGCTGGAGTATCAAAACTAATGCTCTTAAAATCAGAGTCTTCGTAATCATCCCACACTTGACGTCTAATTGAAAGTCTCCTAAGACTCAGACTCGACACAGTGCAAGACCATATCCAATGTTCCCATTTCACACCACTCAAGATTAGTTCCTCAAGCACAGGAGACGCAGCAAGAAGCGTTTTAAACGCACAACGACCACCAAACTCATAGAACTTAACGTTATAAAGAAAGAGCGTCTTGAGAGATGGAAGAAAGACATTCCTAGGGAGAATGTCAATTGCAAAATCAGACCCTAGTAACAGTTTAACAACTGTCTTGCAAGTGAAAACTTCAAAAGGAAGTGAGTACCCTTCTTCACCATTTATCCATAGATCAAGATCCAACACACCGCGTTTCAGGACATGACGTAAACAAGTGTTGATATGATCATATTGATCAGACTCAGTTTCAACAGACCACCACTTTAGAGAGAAGTTCCTTACTCGGGAACTCAATTGTAGAGACGATAAGCGGTCTGCAAAATCCTTTAAACTCTCTCTATTTCTAACTGAGACATCAAAGTGAATATCTTGTATGATGGTAAGCAGATTTCGCCACCTCTTTGAGAGAACCTTAGTGAAAGCAGCCTCCTTTGCTGATAGAAACGACCCAATGTGGCAAATAAGCTCGTCTGGTAAATTGCTGATTCGATCCATGCCTTTTTGCAAAACCCTAGAAAAACCCTTTTCACTACCCACAAAAACCTAGTTCCTAATCACAGATGCAGAAACAGTAAAACTTGAAGCGAAATGTGCAGATATTGAAGTAGAAGACGACAAATTCCTAATCACAGTTGCAGAATTTGAGTAAGAGAAAGTGAAACGACTGAGAA